AGAGAAAAAAAAAAAGAAAAGAAAGAAAGAATGGAAAACCTACCACTTTCTGGAAGGCTTTGATCTATTGTGGTTACTTAAGACCCCCCCCCCTCCCCCTCTCAAAAGACACAGCAAGTAGGGCTTGTGGCGTTAGTTAGTTATTGATTGATGAAGAATTATCTTCATTTTTAGCAACTGATGGGGAAAATCAAATAATAATTGTTTGTGATTATTGACATTGCAACCAGTCATATAGTTTCTCCACTGGCACTTTACCTTCACTCAATGTAACATACAAAAACATATATTAGTTTCACAGATATGTGATATATTTAGCCTTTTCAAACTATAGTTATCTAATATGTGTGCATAACATTTGGTGTCATTAGTTACAAAAGACAAATAATGATGAACAGGCCTCCTCTGAAAATTAGATATCAAACAGAATGTGATACAAATTATTCTTTTCTTTTTTTTTTAGATTTCCAATTTTCAGTATTATTCTAAATTAGAAAAGGAATAATTATAATAAACATAATTAGCATGATTAACTGGATAGCGACAAACATTACATATCATCCAATCGGATTCTAAGCAGTGGCAGAGGGGTGAGGCTTTTTGGTATTTATGAAATAAGGTGACTATGGTCAACAAACTCATAATGACTTGTGCTTGAAATGACTTACAAGCCAAAACATAATTAACCCCTTCATGACGGGTGACACTGCTAGGGGTGAAAACAAACCGCTCGAAAAGTGGTGTGCGGCTGTACGCCACGGAGGCATGCCAAAGTGCGGCGAGCCAGTGATTCGGGCTGATGTACCGAACTCACGCGCTCAAAGTCAGGGCGCTGCCATTGTTTGCCAGAGCGTAGTTTTTGTTTTCTGTTTTCTTCACCTGTCACCATTGGGTTAAATCTGATCCCCATCCACTTCAATATTGACATGTAATCCCTATAGAGCTTGTGTTCCTTACTAAGCCAATTTCTACCAAACCCAAAATTAACCTAATCAATGGGACATCCATTCCACGTTACAAAAATTCTATAAGATAAGAAATAAGATAAGAAAAATATTCTCGGCACTTTCTCCAGTGAAAAAATATATATATATATTGGAAAAATACAATACAGGTAGAAATTTTCCGTCATAATAAAGGGATAGGAAGAATTTTTATGAGTAACTGTTTTGTAATATAAAATGATGAAACAATTTAGGATTTTTCAATAGAAATATTTGTAAAGAGAGCCTTTTTTTTCTATCCTGCATTTACTACTGTATTTTGTCTTATCCTTTAGAGGTTTTAATTTTTAGTATAGTATTTCACAAGCACTATTTTAAGCTTATCTGACTGGCCAAAACAACTGCAAATCAGATAGGTCTGCATTAACTGCAAAAACAAAAATAACATCAAACCAAGCATGCAATGAAACAAATGACAGCAGATAAAGGATGCCTATAAATAGGAACCACACATACTATATATAAATACACAGAACACATATCCAAAATGTAAATTCATGGCATTAACAAGCACAGTAATCCAAAACTTCCCAACCAAACAACCAGGAACACAACCAACCCACCTGTGTCTGTGCCTGATGCCTACGTCTGGTGGCAGGGCGTATGTGGTGACTCTGGCAAGGCAGGAAAGGATCAAACTGGTTCATTCCCATCCCTGGGACATTCAGGGGTGTGACGTGCACGTGGGGGCGGTGGGTCACACGAGTCTGGGTCACATTTGTGGTGCTCGTTCCGCTGTTGGTTCAAGAGACGGAGCATTTCAACGAGGATGTACAGTAGTAGGAAAGGCATCATGACAATACCAATAATGTTTTATATAATGACGTGTACATACAAATATGAATCTTATTTTCATTCTTATTAGGAAAAGGGTTAAATACAACAGAACAAGAAAAGGATAAAAAGGACAAAAAATCAAATGCAAATATATACAAACATACACGAACAAAAGTAATCCACCACAAAAACAAAACACAAGTAACATGAAATCCAAGTAATTACAGAGCATTATTATATATGAAATTTCATTTTCTCTTTATTTAATACCTGACTATAAGTAAGACTGATAATGCAATCACAAAGAGAAATGATAAAGGTAATAAAAATAACCTCAAAATAGTCGGGAAGATGAAGACTTCCACAGACTGTCAAAGAAAACCAAGATGACATAAACCCCTTTCCTCCACCAACAAGCTTCATTTCATAATTTGAAAAACACAAAACAAAATCCTCTAACTTTGATTCTAATGCTAATCATGAACAAATTCCCTCAGAAACTATCCTTCCCTCTAAAACTGTCCTTCTATCTATTTATACTATCAACAGAATCGATCAGCAAATCTTACAATATGTTTACATATACAAATAAATATCCTTTGTAAACTTTTTTTTTTTGTATATGAGCATGAGTATGTGTGAAGGAGTACAGGTATGAATGTATACACATGAATATTTGTGTATGTTCATACATATCAAATATGAGTGTGTGTATGAGAGCACAAGTTGTATGTATGATTAAGAGTATTTGTGAATGAGGAAGTGTGTATGTGTGTGTGCTTGAGTATAAGAATGTATTTGTACGTGAGTGTGAGTGTGAGTATGAGTATGAGTATGAGTATGTGTGTGTGTGAGTGTGTGCAAGTATGTGTGTATGACAGTGCAGGCTTGAGTGAGGCCAGTTATGTGTGGGCAGGTGTGTGTGCAGGCATGTGTGTGTGCAGGCAGGTGTGTGTGCAGGCAGGTGGTGTGTGTGGGCAGGTGGTGTGTGTGGGCAGGTGGTGTGTGTGGGCAGGTGGTGTGTGTGGGCAGGTGGTGTGTGTGGGCAGGTGGTGTGTGTGGGCAGGTGGTGTGCGTGGGCAGGTGGTGTGTGTGGGCAGGTGGTGTGTGTGGGCAGGTGGTGTGTGTGGGCAGGTGTGTATGCGGGCAGGTGTGCGTGTGCGGGCAGGTATGTGTGTGCGGGCAGGTATGTGTGTGCGGGCAGGTATGTGTGTGTGTGCGTAGATGTGTAGGTGTAGGCAGATATGTGTGTGTGTAGGTGTAGGCAGATATATGTGTGTGTATGTGTGTGTAGGTGTAGGCAGATGTATGTGTGTGTAGGTGTAGGCAGATGTATGTGTGTGTATGTGTGTGTATGTGTGTGTATGTGTGTGTATGTGTGTGTAGGTGTGTGTAGGTGTGTGTAGGTGTGGGCAGATGTGTTTGAGCATGTCTCAGTGCACATGTATGTGAAAGCAAGTGTTTTGTGTTTTGTTGCTTGCGGTATTTTATTCCTTGGGGCACAGTGTAGTTTGGGATATAGTCTTGTTTGTGGAGGTGTGTTGTGGTGGGGTATAGTTTGTGGTGGGGTGTTGTTTGTGGTGGGGTGTTGTTTGTGGTGTGGTGTTGTTTGTGGTGCAGTGTTGTTTGTGGTGGGGTGTTGTTTGTGGTGGGGTGTTGTTTGTGGTGGGGTGTTGTTTGTGGTGGGGTGTTGTTTGTGGTGGGGTGTTGTTTGTGGTGGGGTGTTGTTTGTGGTGGGGTGTTGTTTGTGGTGGGGTGTTGTTTGGGGTGGGGTGTTGTTTGTGGTGGGGTGTTGTTTGTGGTGGGGTGTTGTTTGGGGTGGGGTGTTGTTTGTGGTGGGGTGTTGTTTGGGGTGGGGTGTTGTTTGGGGTGGGGTGTTGTTTGGGGTGCGGTGTTGTTTGTGGTGCGGTGTTGTTTGTGGTGCGGTGTTGTTTGTGGTGCAGCATTTGTGGTGTAGTGTTGTTTATGGAACTGTAATGAATGTATTGGGGTGTTGACTGTAGTGATGTCTGGGTGTGTGTATGTCACTGGTTCATGTGAGTGGATGCAAATTTATATAAGTGTGAAAGCTTGCTTGAATGTGATTTTCAGTGTAAACATGAATGCGACTTTGTTTTTTTAGTTTTTTTTTAACCCAATGGTGACGGGTGAAGAAAACAAAAAACAAAAACTCTACGCTCTGGCAAACAATGGCAGCGCGCCGGCTTTGAGTGCGTGAGTTCGGTACATCAGCCCGAATCACTGGCTCACTGCCACGGCGTACAGCCACATGCCACGTTTCGAGCGGTTTGTTTTCACGCCTAGTGGCGTCACCCGTCGTGAAGGGGTTAAGAAAGGAAGAGTCCATCATGTCAAGTACACTTTTCAGGAGAAGTGTCTTAGTATAAATGTATATAAACATAAGTGTGCATCTGTATGCTGACATATTACTATCATCAACTATATATGGACTTCACAAAAAAGGTCTCCATATGCCAAACAAACTCCCTGAAGGTCACTGCAAAGTATCTGCAGCCATGCTTACCAGGAGCCCAGGGTTGCAGAGCTAGCATGAAAATTTGAGAAAAAAAATTTACAATGTTCACCAATCATCTTCCAGATATGATAGCATCACAAAGAGATGGCTATCACATCTAACTCCACAGAAGCCCTTGATCTTGCTATCATCATTATCAGACTTTATAAATATATTTTTTTAAATGATCTAGTTTTATGAAGTGAGAAAATGTTTAAATGCAGTGATTATGAAGCATATTTAGTAAATGAGAACAATAATTTTGAGATCTCAAAAATTAAGACATTATGTATGAAGACACTGATCAGCAACTAATATCTTCTTTGCAATGAATATTCACCTTCTAAACTAATCACCTGAGTCTTTCATGAATATCTAAAAGAAGTTAATTAATCATATCTAGAAATGGTGTAATGATTCCCAGATATGTAAGGCACATTTGTTCATATCCCATTTTTCAATACCTTTACCAGTAGCTGTGTTTGGATTTTTTTCCCCTTAGAAATCTCCAAGTTTGAATGACTTCAGCTTAATCAATTTTATATTAACTCTTCAATCTTGGAAGGCACTCAGTCATACAATGGCTGTGGTGGATTGTGTTGCAGAGATGGCACTGGATAATAACATACCCCAGCTCATCAGAGGGAGCTTGTCTTTCTTCAATAGCAGTGACATCATTTATTTGGTGGCATTATTTGATACAGGCACTTAAAATGAAAGGGCAACCTTCAATTTTTCAAACTTATGTTTATAAATTACAGCTACAAGCTATTAAGAGCCTGCATTTAAAGGGTTAAAATAATTGAAAAATATGTTTCTTCCATCCTGTGTGTGCATGAAGCTCTAATTTGTCCTATTCTCTAATGGTAAAGGCTAGTTACATGACTGATATAGGTGAAGATAAGCTGGATAACCATATTTGGATGTGAGATTAAGGTTTCAATAAGATTTTACCACTTAAAGGTAATTAGAAGTGTGTCTGAACTATGTGTATGTAAGAGGAATGATATGCTTGGAAAGAAAATAAGGGAAGACTGTCCTTCAGATTTGGGGGGGGGGGGATCTGAGCTTAGAAAGAAAATAAGGGAAGAATGTCCTTCAGATTTGGGGAGGGGGGGGGGGGATCTGAGCAAACAATGTACAATATGTCAATTCATTTTCCCATGACAGTTACATTTCCCTAATGATTTCAGAAGCATAGGCAAGGAAGGCAAAAAGAGATTTAATATACTCTAATATTTACAATTTTGGAACTGATGTGTACTTCAGTATCTGATACTGTTCTCAAGAGTAATTGATAACCCCTATTCCCCAGATTAAAGATTAGCCCTATATCTAAATTTAACATGAAGCCATACAAATATATCTGCAAAATGAAAATCAAACGCTTCACTATCCAGGATACATTCTATAGAGATAACAAATCCTATTCTGTCCCCCAGAGGCTGTTGAGGAAGGATTCTGCCTCTTCAATGGTGTGTGGTAATATTTGTAAATACATAAATATGTAAGTAACATGGACACATGTAGCACAGAACAGATAAATCCAGATAAAGTAATTACAGCTTCATGATGAACAAATGTGCCTTTGATCTGCCTGTAGACATTACTAATTGAAAAATATCTAACAACTAAGAAGCTCAAAGCATTCTGTCTTAACATGAACAAGCCAACCAACTTTTTAAAATGTGCTAAAAATTATTCACATTTCACAAAATTTATTCAATTTTACATCATGTTCTGACTGAATGCTTTTTAAATAGTCTGATTCACTCAAAAAAATGTAACTCCTCCTTGTTATATTATGTAGAAAGACATGTAAGACTTTTGTGTCAAGTTTCCACTGGTTGAAATATGTAAATAATCTAAAAGTTAATACATTCCATCTAGAAAGAAATGAGTAAATCTCTTCCCTGACACAAAGAAATTGATGAATGCCCTTGTTGAAAGGGTATTGCAAATAAGTGGTAATAATATGAACATTAATATATCAAACATTTCTTCACTAAAATTCTTACAATGTCCCTCTAAACGAAATTCAATTTTAAGAGCCCATGTGACTAGATAATGAAGCATCACATTAAATATTTTCTAGTATCATTTGAACAAAATATATAGCCAAATTCATGACTCAATAAATATATTCGTTTTTTTTTGCAAGCCTTTACTGCTCACCAGCTGATATGAGAAATTATAATGGGTGTGAATCAGTAATATGTTGCATAAGGTTTCTGGTTTTCAAGAAACACTTTGCAAAATAATTGATGCAAATGAAACTCAGGAGAAGACAAATATTCACCTCATACATATCTTTTCTTTGCTTCAGTATTAATAAGCAAAAGAACTTAAATGTTAATCAAATTTTCTTAAACTGCTCTGTATAATCTGCAATATCTACTGCACTGATTAAATTATATTGAAGAACTAATGAAGACTACATAAACCTAACATGGTTACATATACACAGACCTTCGAAACAAAAATAATGAATAAGAATGAAATCTACGAAAGGGATGATATGGAGCACTGTAATGTAATGGAATATCATGGAAAATAAAAAATAAATTTCAATATTAAGAATGAAAATTCAAAGGTTTAAATAACTCTGGCATTATTTATGAAAAACTAGTAATACTATTCAGATGTTGAGAGAATGAAAAAAAATATTTACAAAACCTTTCACTACACAGGAAAAACAAGTCTTACACATCTTTCACACTGAAGAACAAATCCTAAGATAATATAAATAAAGAGCCTATTATAACAGATATCTTGGATCTAATCAACATTAGAAAACCTTCATAAAAAAAGATTGCACAAGAATGTCAAAATAATAAAACAATGATATGCAAGTGCTAATTCAATGTCTGTACAGTTTAAGTTGATTTTAAAAAGATTGCTAACAGGAATGAAAGGGACTTGCTTATATAAAAAAGCAATGTTCAGCCAATGAAATCACACTGCACTCTCTTGACTAAAACAAAAATAATAAAACAAAAGTATGCATTCTAACTAAACTCTTTGGATGTGGGAGGGAGGTTGAGGGAGGATACATTATAGATCCTAAAAGATATACAACACATGCTTCACCGAAGAACTTCTTTACAATAGTTAAGAACAGAATAACTGAAGAATACTTACTCTATAGGTTACTTCAGAACACAAATATTCACCAATTTCTTAATATTGCATATAAATCAAAATTACTAATGATGTGAAAATCAAACTCTGGATGACTTAGTATATCAGCATTAAACTTCCAACTTACTGATCATAACCTCCACTAATGGCATTCCATATTAATAAATTTTCCTGACAAACATCTAGTATCAGCCATCATGACTGTTGTTCACAATCATTAATATCTATCTTCAGATACTATCTAGCCAACAAATAAGAATGAATCCTGGAACTCACCTGTTACCGGCTGCTTGGCTATTCCGAGCAGGGGCAGTTCTCTGTACACCTGGACCTGATGCTGGGGCTGAGGAACACACACTGGATGTTGCTGTGGAGGAGCTGGCAGAGGTGGTAGAAGAGGAGGAGGAGGAGGAGGAGGTTGTCGATGATGTAGAAGTTGCAGCGCCACTGAGATTAACTCCTAACTGGTTCGTGATTGAAGACACAAGGTTTCGAATGAGCTCTGGAGTGGGGGCTGATCCTCCTGAAATGAGTTAGAATTGCATGTGGTCAAAGATTACGTTGCAAATTCACCTATATACTTTGTATACATTTTGTAATAATTAAATCCATTAGAGAAAAAATTATTATCAATATTAAGTGTTCCTCTACAGTAATTGCTAAACAAACTCCTAGTCTGATAATCCCCTGAGAGAACTATGAAGTAAAATAAAAATTATTATTCTAAATAAATACATGCAGTATTACAAATATCAAATTAGAGAGGAAGAGAGAAGAGAGGGGGAAGAGGGAGAGAAGAAGGGAGGGGGGAGAGAGAGAGAAGAAGGGAGGGGAAGGAGAGAAGGAGAGGCAGAGGCAGAGGCAGAGGCGGGTATATGATCAGGAACACACCTGCACTTCCTGACCCTTCAGCAGAGAGAGAGTCAATTGTGATTCCGTGTGGCCCCACTTCCATGAGCACTAGGTCCCCACCATCCATTGGGAAGCCCTGCACAGCTCCAAGATTCAGCATTGAGGCTATGTTCCGTGCCTGAGCTGAGGCTGTCTGACTTCCTGATGAGGTAGCTCCTGATGAAGAGCTGGGGGCTGCTGATGTTGTAGCAGATGTGGTGGTGCTGGAGGAGGACCCTACTTGATTAGAGCCACCAGTTGTCTGTCCCTCTACGTGTGCAGTACCAAAGGCGCTGGAGGTGGAGGATGACGTAGAAGCTGGCCGAGGGGTTGAGGAATTAGATGTACTAGAACTCGAGGTCACATTGTTGGCGGATGATGTGACGGTTGTGGAACTTGGACGATTTCCCCCTCTTGAACTAATGGTTACTCTTGTTGGGTCTGTGCTTGTGGTGACATTGATTTGAGCCTGTGAGGAAAATGCTTTTATTAAGAAAAATATGGAGACAATATGTTCCAGAATTACAAAACAAAATGTTTAAAATAATTTGAAGGACTAAATTAATAAATATCAAAACTCAAATAAATATTTGCTGTTGCCATAACAATGATTGTGTAAACAGAACATCAAACACTTGACTAACCTGAACAAGAGCTGGCTGCTGGATGATAATTGGTCGAGCACGCAATTGTCGAGGTGGTGGTCGTCGCAAGTCAACCATTATGTCACTGATGGCGTGCATAGCATGTGAAACAAAATGCAGCACTTCTGACACTCGCCACAAAAGCCACTGTTCCTGCTGAAGTGATGCTGCATCCTGAAAAGCCATTCAACTTATTCAGCTCCATCCTTACATACAAATTCTATTTATACTGTTTGGATATTAATTTCTTTCATATTATATTGGATAAAGTAAAACTTTACTACTAATAATAAGACTGAGAATAAAAAAAAAAGGTCCATATAAATAAAAAGTCATTACCATATAAAATGTACATGAAAGTTCCTAAAAAATGGAATAAAAATACGCAATCACACAAGTCTATGCTGCCCAGGGATCCCTTTACAAAATGGGATACTTTCCCAGCAGTGAAGGGAACTGAGATAAAAATATCTGCCTAGAGAAGCACCACTGTGTTGATCTTTCACCCCAGCTAGAAAAGGAAAGATGATGCCAAAACAGAAACTAATGTCTCACTAATATTTTAAAGAATGTCCAGACAAACGTTCATTTGATTAAGGCGTGCAAGCACCCCCTCACCCCCACTCTGACACACTAAAGATGGAGCTCACTTCATACATTATTTACGCCCTGCTGGACAAAGTGAGAGCTAAAGAACACTTAAGGAACACCATCCACAAATATCATGATAACAGAAAGTTAAAAATAATAATGGATGAAATCAACAAGGAACTTAGCTTTGAGGAGGGAATAATCATACATATCTATATCATGATCGACTATTACTAATATTTTACTCAATTTCAGTTACAGAATTCGCTATCTCTCAACTTGAGTTTTTATCTGTCCATAATTACATCGTGTGACCAATCCCTCTCTGTAGCTGACAGACACTTGGTGTGACTGTCTAGGGATCCACAGGCAAACAAGACTAGTGTGACCATTAATTAAATCTCCTTTTGAATACACATTTTTTCTCAAGTAATTAGATAAACATGAAGAGGAAGAGGAAGATGTACATGAAGAAGCATATATGGATGTAGAAGAGGGAGTAGTGAGATAAATGTCCAAGTAGTAGCAGTGATAGTCTCAGTAACAGTAGCAGTAGCAGGAAGAGGAGGAGGGGAAGAAGTAAGAGGGGAAGGGGGAGGGAGGAGGAGGGGAAGGGGGAGGGAGGAGGAGGGGAAGGGGGAGGGAGGAGGAGGAGGGGAAGGGAGGAGGAGGAGGAGGGGAAGGGAGGAGGAGGAGGAGGAGGAGGAGGAGGAGGAGGAGGAGGATATAGAGAAGGAGGAGGAGGAGGAGGAGGAGGATATAGAGAAGGAGGAGGAGGAGGAGGAGAAGGATATAGAGAAGGAGGAGGAGGAGGAGGAGGGGAAGGATATAGAGGAGAAGGAGGAGGAGGAGGAGGGGAAGGATATAGAGGAGAAGGAGGAGGAGGAGGAGGAGGAGGAGGAGGAGGAGGATATAGAGAAGGAGGAGGAGGAGGAGGAGGAGGATATAGAGAAGGAGGAGGAGGAGGAGGAGAAGGATATAGAGAAGGAGGAGGAGGAGGAGGAGGGGAAGGATATAGAGGAGAAGGAGGAGGAGGAGGAGGGGAAGGATATAGAGGAGAAGGAGGAGGAGGAGGAGGAGGAGGAGGAGGAGGAGGATATAGAGAAGGAGGAGGAGGAGGAGGAGGAGGATATAGAGAAGGAGGAGGAGGAGGAGGAGAAGGATATAGAGAAGGAGGAGGAGGAGGAGGAGGGGAAGGATATAGAGGAGAAGGAGGAGGAGGAGGAGGGGAAGGATATAGAGGAGAAGGAGGAGGAGGAGGAGGAGGAGGAGGAGGAGGAGGATATAGAGAAGGAGGAGGAGGAGGAGGAGGAGGATATAGAGAAGGAGGAGGAGGAGGAGGAGAAGGATATAGAGAAGGAGGAGGAGGAGGAGGAGGGGAAGGATATAGAGGAGAAGGAGGAGGAGGAGGAGGAGGGGAAGGATATAGAGAAGTAGGAGGAGGAGGGGAAGAAGATAGAGAAGGAGGGGGGGAGAAGGAGGAAGAGGAGGGGGGGAAATGAGGAGTTAGAGGGGGGGAGGAGGAAGAGGAGGAGGGGAAGAAGATAGAGAAGGAGGGGGAGGAGAAGAAGGGGGAGGAGAAGGGGGAGGAGAAGGAGGAAGAGGAGGAGGGGGGGAAATGAGGAGTTAGAGGGGGGAAGAGGAGGAGGAGGAGGAGGGGGGGGAAGAATGAGGAGGAGGGGGGGGAAGAATGAGGAGTTGGAGGGGGATAGAAGGAGGAAGAGGAGGAGGGGGAGAAATGAGGAGTTAGAGGGGGAGGGAGGAGGAGGAGGAGGAAGAGGAGGGGGAAGAAGGAGGAGGAGGAGGGGGAGAGAAGGAGGAGGAGGAGGAGGGGGAGAGAAGGAGGAGGAGGAGGGGTGAAGGAGGAGGAGGAGGGGTGAAGGAGGAGGAGGAGGGGGAGAAGGAGGAGGAGGAGAGGAGAGGAGGAGGAGGGGTGAAGGAGGAGGAGGAGGGGGGAGAAGGAGGAGGAGGAGGGGGGAGAAGGAGGAGGAGGAGGGGGGAGAAGGAGGAGGAGGAGGGGGGAGAAGGAGGAGGAGGAGGGGGGAGAAGGAGGAGGAGGAGGGGGGAGAAGGAGGAGGAGGAGGGGGGAGAAGGAGGAGGAGGAGGAGGGGGGTGAAGGAGGAGGAGGAGGGGTGAAGGAGGAGGAGGAGGGGTGAAGGAGGAGGAGGAGGGGTGAAGGAGGAGGAGGAGGGGGGAGAAGGAGGAGGAGGAGGGGTGAAGGAGGAGGAGGAGGGGTGAAGGAGGAGGAGGAGGGGGGAGAAGGAGGAGGAGGAGGGGGGAGAAGGAGGAGGAGGAGGGGGGAGAAGGAGGAGGAGGAGGGGGGAGAAGGAGGAGGAGGAGGGGGGAGAAGGAGGAGGAGGAGGGGGGAGAAGGAGGAGGAGGAGGGGGGAGAAGGAGGAGGAGGAGGGGGGAGAAGGAGGAGGAGGAGGAGGAGGGGGGAGAAGGAGGAGGAGGAGGGGAGAGAAGGAGGAGGAGGAGGAGGAGGAGGAGGAGGAGGGGGGAGAAGGAGGAGGAGGAGGGGAGAGAAGGAGGAGGAGGAGGAGGAGGGGAAGAAGGAGGAGATGATAATGATGGATGAGTGGTGATGGATGGATGATGGAGTGGTGATGGTGGTGGTAGTAACAATTACAATATTGATAGTAATAGTAGTAGCAGCAGCAGCAGCAGTAGTAGTAGTAGTAGTAAAACGAAGAAATTTACAAAAACAATCTAAGAATAATAATCTAATATGAAAAAAAATTAAAAAGAGGAAGAAGAGGACTGAGTGAGTGAGTGAAGGAGTGAATGGTGTGTGTGTGTAAAGGCATTGATAACTTACCCCATCTCCATAAGCTGTATCATTAGCCATTGTTTGATGGTAGCGAGTCATGTAGGGCTCTAATCGACGCTGTATTTGATTGTACAGATCCAAAATTTCAACCATTACTGAACAGCGTG